TAAGACGGCATTTCTTCCCAGGCGGATCCATGGAGTCAAACTAACACCTACCAAAAAATCCGTTTTTCCTTTTCTTCTTTCTTTTTTTTTTTCAGACAATGGCAAGCTGATCTCAAAACATATATAGAAATGCAAAGGACCCATGGTAGCAAAAAACATTTGAAAAAGAACAAATTTGAAGGAGGTACACTTTTTGATTTCAAACCTTAAAATAAACACTTATAAATATGATCAAATGAGTTTGACAGAAGTACCAAGGTACCCTGTTCAAATGAAGAAAGCACGGTCTTTCTGTGACACATGACATTCCCATGAATTTAGGTCCTTACCTCACACCATACACAAAAATTCATTCAAAATGGCTCATAAACCCACATGGAACAACTAAAATTATGAAACTTCTTAGGAGAATAAAACAGGAGAAAATCCTTTGTGACCTTGGGTTAGGCAGAAAGATACAATACTAAAAGCATGATTCATATAGAAAAAAACTGAAAAAATTGGACTTCATTAAAATTAAAAACATTTGCACCACAGAAGAGACCATAAGACTTGGAGAAAATATTTACAAATCGCGTCTTATAAAGGACATGTATCCAGAATATATTAAGAATCTTACTACTCAATAATAAGAAAATAACCCAATTCAAAAGTGAGCAAAGGATCTGAACAGAGATTTCCGCAAAGAAGATACAAGAATGGCCCATAAGTACATGAAAAGGTGTTCACCATCATTGGCTCTTAGAGAAATTCAAATCAAGGCCACAAGGAGATATCACTAGAATGGCTAGAATAAAAAAAAGAAAAGAACACGTGTCGGTCGATGTAGAGAAATTCGAACCCTCATACAATGCTGATGGTGATCTAAAATGGTGCAGACACTTTGGAGAAGAGTCTGGCACTTCCTTAAGAAGTCAAACATAAACTGACCATAAAAGCCAGCAACAGCCCACGGGAAATGAAACCATGCCCCCACAAAGACTTGGACACAAACGGTCACAGCAGCATGCAAAGACAACCCACAGGTCTACAACTGGTGGAGTGAACGAACAAAACGTGATGTAGTCCCACGATGCCACACTACGCAGCAACAAAAAGGAATTCCTCACACCCCCTACGACATGCATAACCCTCAGAAGTGTTATGCTAAGTGTGAAGTCAGATGCAGAAAGCCACAGACTGCCTGATTCCATGCGTACGAAATGTCCAGAAAAGGCAAACCAGGGAGAGAGAGGAAGCAGCTTTGTGGTTGCCTGAGGCTGGAGGCAGGAATGGAGCCTGATCGCAGATGGGTGTAAGAGATCTTTTGCAGGTAATGGAGATGTTCTAAAATTGGTTTGCTGTAATGGCTGCACAGCCGTGTAAATTTACTAAAAAGTCCTTGACGTGTACGCTAACATGGGTGAGTTGAATGGCAGGTAAACCAGAGCCTCTGAAAACTGCTGGGCTGGGGAAGAAGCAGAGGCTCTCGACGTAGACCATGTGGACTGAAGTCCCGGCTGACGCGGGCTGGCTGCGTCACAGGGCGCGAGTTGCCTCAACCACCTGTTGTCCCGGATGAACAGTGGCTTGGAGGGCCCAACCCTCACGGAGTTAGGCTGAGAATTCAATGAGTTAATGCGGGTTCAATGTTTCGGCACAGGGCCAGACACACAACGGGCACTCAGTAACGTTCACTGTTTTTCTTATTATGATTATCATGATGACATTCAAACAATTATCAAGTCGGGCCAACTTTTCTTAGTAATTCTCAAGTTGATCCCCTTTTCTCTGAAACTGCCTCCCTCACACTCCGTACCACCTTGGGCATGAACACTTGCTGCGGTCTTCCTAACTTCCTCCAGGCTCATTCCCTCGCACATAGCCTCCACAGCTCCCCCAGCAAATGGGAACATACCACAGAACACCGGCTTCTGGTGTCTAGTTCAATGGCACGGAAGGCCCCTGCCAGACAGTCTCTCTGTGAAACACTCCACTCCATCGGCACACACACATCACAGCGGCAAACATCCCCCTACGTACCATGCAAGTACTCACGCCATATGCCCTAGGCAGCCGTGTCCCAGCCCTCCCCTCCCTTCATCTGTCTGTTCTCCAAAGCCTCAGGCTCAGCAATGGAAGCAACTCCCCAGCCAGCCTCCACTGCTCCTTCTGAGGTGCGGCCTTCCCATGCCTGTGATAATCACCTGCGCATGTCTCCAGAACTGAACCGAGGCACACAGCTTGAAGAACGTGTCTTCCATCTTGAAGCGTGAGCCTAGCACAGTCCCTGAAACAGCTAGGATATTGTAGGTGGTCAATAAAATGCCACCTGGCTGGCTGAAAAAGCAAACCACGCACATTTTCTTGGCTGCTCAAATAGGGAAAATGCACTTAGGTTTGCAAATGCCTCAGGCGTATTTTTAGCATGTCACTTAAGGAAAATGACAGAGGTTGTCCAAGAAAATGGAAACCTTAGTAAGGCTCTACCTCGTTTGAGGCACTACTGTAAGCAGTAATGAGAGAAGATACAGAGTCATAACTCCCTCTATTTGAAGCCATTTAGGCTTTCTAGAACTGTCGGTAGGTCATCAAAATTTACAGAAATGGCTGGTAACATGAATCTTTCCAGTGGGATTTTTTCCTAACTTACTTGAAATCAGAGTTTCTAAATCCGAAATTGATCTGTTAAGAATTTTTGAGACAGTTCATAGTGGGAATGTAAGACAATCAAAATCAAATTTAGGGTCTTTTTTTTTTTTCCAAGAGTTTTGCTGAATGAATGGGAAAAAAAAATTACCTGATGTCTGGCTTTCATCCCAGAGATTCTGATTTAAGTGGCCTAAAGAAGAAACCAAGAAGAACCTTTTTAAAGTTCCCCAGATAATACTAAAGAGTAGCAAGGGTTGAGATGCACTCCTATGAAATCTAAAACGTGTTCCTTTATGCCTCATTGTTCTTATGTATAAAACAGTCGCAGTTATGCTTGGATTTATGGATAACTGAAAAATCTTTTCAAAGTACAATTCATAACTAAATGTTAATTGGAGTCCTTTCTTTTTATTCTCACTACCATGGGTCACTGAAAAAATAAAGTCTGATTTACTAAAACCACCTGATCGATAAGCATTAATATCCATATTACAGAGGGACATTTAAAATCCATTATAATCCATTACAGGATTTAAAAAAAAAAAAAGAAGATCCCCAAACTGTAATCTTAATTAACCCACAAACAAATGCATACTAAAAATAAAAGTGTGAGTTGGAAAGATAACTGAGAGTAATAATATTTCCAGAAGACTGAGCTGTAGGTCCTCTGTGAATAAATCCCTATTTGTGGGCATGGCATGTGTTTCTCTAGTCATGGATATGAAAGGAGATCTCAGCAAAGTATTGAAGCGGTACTATTTCCATGCTTGTATTTCAATGGGCCCTGGGGGAGAGATCTGAAATGACAAATACAAAACTTCACTTTAAGATTACACTGAGTATGACATAAAATTTAGTATTAGACTCTCCTTAAAATGAAAAAAGTTAAAGCAATCACACCACATCCTGTAAACATCTATTTTTCTTCTCCTGAAATGTCCTATTCAATCTTTTTTTCAATTCTTCCAGGAAACATTCTATCATTGCCACTGAGGGGGATCAGGGCACATCACCCCAAAACATACCACTTTGGCATAAGAACAATTTTGAGCTGAAAGCATCTGAGTTCCTGAAATTGCTTATCTGCCCAAAAGCAGAGCCTCCCCACAAAATTCAACTGTCATAAATCCCCTCCACAGGCAACTGTGCTCTCTCCAGGCACCGTACCCAGACCCTGCCACACACCAGCACACCGCCCATCACTTCTCCTAAGGGTCCACTGATCTTTCCAAAGAGTCCCGGGCTCTCCCGTAAGTGCCCTTCTCCTCCTCCCTCGTTAGGTGCGCTGACCCCACGACCAACCCTCCCTTGAGTTGCTGAGGCCTGGGCGCCATGTGAATGCAGGAGGCCCCCGTTAATAAGCTGCTGTTTTTCTCTTGTTGATCTGCTTTCGTCAGACCGTTTCCAGGGCCTGGCTGGAGAACCCAGCAGGTGGAGGAAAAAATAATTTATTTTCTTCCTCTACAATACCTCAATATCTGACTTTACATTTATGTATATACATCTCTCTCAGCTTTAAACCCCCTTTTTTTTTAATTAAAAAAAAATTAGTACCCCAAAGAGTCAAAGTTTTAAAACCCTTGGAGACTCTGGGTGTAGTCTCTCTAACATGTCGAATTAAATATTAAAACAAAAACCATACCGGGACGCTTGGGTGGCTCAGTGGGTTAAAGCCTCTGCCTTAGGCTCAGGTCATGATCCCTGGGTCCTGGGACCGAGCCCCGCATCGGGCTCTCTGCTCCATGGGGAGCCTGCTTCCTCCTCTCTCTCTGCCTGCCTCTCTGCCTGCTTGTGATCTAATAAATAAATAAAATCTTTAAACAAAAACCATACCAAAGTGCTTATTGCACGAGCCAAGACCGCTGTGAAGAAGGGAGTGAATAAGGACAAAGTACTCACAGCGCCCGCAGCTGTCAGTGACCAGCCTCCTCCACGGGGTCCTCACCAAATATAGGGTGGTGATCCCGGTTAACCCACTTTGCCAATACGAGTTCATCTTTAATCACCATTCCGTTATTTATCTTTCACCAAAAGATAAGTGTGAAAGACTAAAATTGTACGGTGGCAAAATAAGCTCCAATTAAATTTTCCTACTTGGAAAACAAACAGAGAGCTACATTTTATAGTGAGGAAGACTGGAAATACCTTATTGCTATTAATAATGGCAGGTAAAATAAAGGAAAGGTAATGTAGTTATAAATACAGAGCTCCTAGAAATTAATAAAGCTTTTAACATACAACTGTGATGTATAAAGTCACGTAGGCAAACACTGAGCACATCGCCTCAATTAGAAGAAAATTAGCTTAGAAGCATCAGAGATGGAGAGCATTTCTACATATGAAAAAAAAGCACATGAAAGACACAAAACAAAATATACTTATTACTTTTAGCATGTTAAAAACAATCACATCCCAAAAAGTATACAGATAAAAATGTCATAGATGACATAAGAAAATAGTGTGTGTATATATATATTTTGCATATATATATATATGTATATATATAAATCTACAGTATTTACCACTGTTGAATATGTATTTTGGAGCAACTCAGATGCTGCTATCATATCCTAAATTATACAGCTTGGTTTATTACGAGTCACAGAATCATGGTTTAAAAACTGGAATTAACATCCTCAGCGATGCGTCTGATGTACAATTCTTTCTCAGCCTCCGCATGATCTGAAGGGAGGCCCAGGGAGAGCGGGGTTTGTGCCTGCTTCAGCAGAGAGCTGAGCTGCTAACACACGGCCATTCGTTTTGCTGTTTAATAACATCATTACCAAGTTGATTAAAATTACATTAGACTCATTATATACATAAAAAATATTGTCACATTCACTAGCTAAACAAATGTTACTCTCCTTGGAAAAGACATACTTCGGTACCTTGAAAGTTTAAAGCCCCAACTTACAACCAGAAGAGCCCAAGGTGTTGGCTTTTCTACTCTTGTCCTTGTTCAAACACGAGGAAAGCATGTTGAAAATAAGCTCTCCAATTAAACACAAGGTCAGACTTTCTGGGGATGCCTAAAACTGTCCCTGTGTTTTGGTAATTGTAGTGTAATAGACTTTTTGAAAGATGTTGCTAATTTTTTAACCATGAACCTGAATTTGTTCTCACTGAAAAAGAAAAAAAAAAAGGAGATTTTTAGAAGTATGAAAGTCACACTATTTTTTTAAAGATTAAAACCTTAGACTCCTTACTAATAATTAGGATCATTTTTTTGCAAGTTTACACAATGATAATTTAGTGGCCTAAGTGTGGCAATGTCCCTTCATTACCACCTTTAAGGAAAGAGTGCCAGGAAAAGCTCATGTAAGTCAACAGCCCGGGCCCTGCAGGAATTTACAGGGGAGAAGTAAGAAGCGACCACAGCATTAAGCCTGCTATCAAACGATGTCAAAGGAGCCTGTTCTGTGCCCCAGTGTTTAAGCACCATTCAGTGGTGAGCTTTTCTCTCCAGCGTCTTTAACTTTCAGAAGGAAAGAAAATGGCCACAACTGCAGAGAAGCTGAATGAAGTCGGGGCAAACCCTGACGGCACTCTAGGATCTGGGTGAAAAATATAAGGGAGAAAAAGAGAAAAACAAAAAATAAAAAACTTGGCTGAAAGACAAGTTAAGGAAAGGAAGAATAGTAAATTATTCCATGGATGTAGATTTAAATTAATTTTTTTAACGTTTCTTTAGTTCTGTGTTCAAATGTGTGTGCATGGAGGCTTTTTGGTATCTACTGAAAGACACGCACACTACATCTAGCCTTGGAAGTATCTATTCTACACAGTTTCTCAGTGCTCTGTGATGTTACCCAGAACAGGATGGGCTAATGGCGCAAAAACGCTCAGGTTCTGGAGGAAGATGTAATTGAAACTGAGTCCCGAATTATCATTATGTGCGGGTCCCTAAATGCTACTGCTATGTTTCTGTGTTGAATTCACTTCAGCAGGTTCCGTGATGCTGCAGTCTAAAAAGCTCATCACAAACCACGTCTACGTGGGGCTGAAAGGCTCCTATGTACTCCTAGTATCGGCAGACACGGAACTCTGCAAGATGTTCACAATAGTATAAAATACTGCTTTGGCAATTATAAACATAGCAATGTAGGTTTCAAATGGTTTCTATTCTCCTGTCTTTACCAAGTATAGATAAATTCTCACAGCAATACTGATTCTTGAATAGAAAGTCCATCCCGATTTCTGTAGTGGTACGCTGGAGGCGAGGGCCCTGAATACTGACAGCCAGAGGAGCCAGCCTCTTCTAAGCCTGGGGAAGTTCTGTATCGCAGTGGACTATCCACTGAAACCGCCGGCAGGCTGTGGTCCTGGAAGGGAACGTGCTGGAAGGTGGAATATTTTGGTAAGTTGCTCAAGTGGCCCCGGTTAGCGTCTTGAGTCCACAATGGTCCGTGAGTCTCGGGTCTGTAGGTGTAACTGACTTCTGACCACTTTCTGTTATCCGGCAGATAATCCACTGGAGGAATGATGAACTGTCCATTCTTTGGCGACTCTGGATTGCCTGCATATCCCCCGGCGCCAGGATCAATGGGAAGGACTTCTATGCGGCTGGAGGGCAGCACAACAGGGAGCGGGCGGCTGTGCGACTTCTCTGGAGAAATATTGACTGAAAGAGTCGAACCATAAGGTCTCCGGGAAGGATGCACTTGAGTCCCGTGGGTAGACGGCGGAGAGGCAAAGCTGCTGTTAGCAGCAGGGATGTGTCTGGGAGAATTGCCGTGGTAAACTGGGGGGTTACTGTAGGACGGCGGGAGCACTGTCCTGCGATCCTCTCCGTCCAACGGAGGTGGGTATTTTGCGTAACCTGCAGGCTGCACTTTAAAAGTAAACTTGTTTGATACTCTCGATGGACTAGAACTTGGCTCCACGTACTTCCTTGGGCTGTGAGAGTAGACCACGTTCCGTGGACTTTGGGAGTAGGCTCTTTCTAGTGCCTCTTCGATAGAAGCGCTGTTGTCATTTTCAGGTACGTTGTCGTACTGGGACGCGTTAGAGCCCCGCTTCCCTTCATCGGCATCCAAAACCTTCATCTTCTGCCTCACGTTTGATATTCGAGGGTCTGCAGAACTCGGGATGGAAACTGTGAGTGCCGGGTGTCCTGACCTACTTTTGCCTTCGATGGCGTATTTGGCAGTTTTTTCAATGGCTGAAGTCTCTGACGGTTTGTTCCACTTGGGCACAAATTCCTTCCTGGTATTGGACGTGGCATTGCTATTCTGGTTAGCAGCTGCATGATTGTACTGCCTGGAACTGTCCTGTGGACCTGATGGAAGTTTTCTTTGAAGATCTGCTTCATCTTGAAGCTTTTTACTGTCTTCATCTTCTGATTTCCGTCTCAGTGCCCTTACTCGTTCTGGTGTACCAATCCTACTCGCATGGAGAGGGGAAGGCTCATGCTTTTTGTGAGGTGATGAGCCGCTTCCTCTTCTGCTGCTCATATGGGGACTTGGCCTGCCCACACTTCTCTGTCCATTGCTCAGGTGACTGATGCAAGCAGATTCAGGTGGCAGCTGACCCAAAGGTTTCTTCGGATACTCATCCTCTTTCCCTAAAGAGAAAGACAGATTTATAAGTAAAATAGATACAGGAGTAAATGCTATCAAATGTAAGAACGACAACAGAACAAATGCATGTTTTTCGTACGTGCACTCGCACAAGTATCTACACGCCACAGGATTGTACGGGTTTAGAAAAAGAGTTATTAATTTTTTATTTTTTTTAAAGATTTTATTTATTTATTTGACAGAGAGAGAGAGATCACAAGTAGGCAGAGAGGCAGGCAGAGCAGGAGGGGAAAGAAGGCTCCCTGCTGAGCAGAGAGCCCGATGCAGTGCTCGATCCCAGGACCCTGGACCACGACCTGAGCCGAAGGCAGAGGCTTTAACCCACTGAGCCAGCCAGGCACCACTAGAAGAAGCATTATTTAGAGAAACTGATACTAAAACACAGCAAAACTCAAAATCTTTTTACATGGCAGGCAGGTGGAAATATTTTATGAACTAATGAGTAAGGTTTATACAATGATGAAACACATGATTCTTAGGTTTTTTTAAGATCTACTGTTGCTGGGGCGCCTGGGTGGCTGAGTGGGTTAAAGCCTCTGCCTTCGGCTTGGGTCATGATCCCAGGGTGCTGGGATCAAGCCCCCTGTCGGGCTCTCTGCTTGGCAGGGAGCCTGCTTCCTGCCCCACCCCACCCCCCCGCCTGCCTCTCTGCCTACTCGTGATCTCTGTCTGTCAAATAAATGAATAAAATCTTTAAAAAAAATCTATTGTTACTTGCTTTTTCAAGAATGCAAAGCTGATATTCATTTTCTTTTTATTACCAAAACAATCGTGCAGGTCAGTAGTTCAATGTCTTACCATTATTTTACTTTTGCTTTAATCTACCTCCACTAAAATGGTTTTGAAATCAGTAAAACCTCTCCTATCAACTTTAGGCAGGTCTGAAAAATTGAAAAGGCAGGGGATAACCAACTGTAGTCTCAATGTTGTCCCAAAACAGCTTATTATTTACTATTATTATTATTATTCTTCTCTCAAGTACCCACAAAAGGGAAAAAAAATTAAAAAAGAAAAAGAAAAAGAAAATCATACTGACTACTTTTAGTTTTACATTTTACATAATGAACATCAGAAAATTAATGAAGAGGGGCACCTGGGTGGCTCAGTGAGTTAAAGCCTCTGCCTTCAGCTCAGGTCATGATCCCAGGGTCCTGGGATCAAGCCCCGCATCGGGCTCTCTGCTCAGCGGGGAGCCTGCTTCCTCCTGTCTCTCAGACTACTTGTGATGTCTGCCAAATAAATAAATAAATAAAATCTTGAAAACAATTAGCAAAGAACTAAAGGAAGGTACAATAAACTGGTCTTTCGGTAAACAGTTTTAGGATGTTCAGGCTCACGACTTTGATTCAACACAATACTTGAAGTCCTAGCCATAGTCACACAAGAAAAAGGAATAAATGGCATTCAAATTGGCAAGGAAGAAGTAAAACTGTGACTATTAGCAGAGGACAAACCAAGACAGATTCTTCACCGCACAGAACAAACTGCTAGCTCCCACAGGGGAGGCGGGTGGGGCACGAGCGCCGGGATTATGGTGCGCACGGAGTCATACGCGGCCCTGCTGGAAACTGTACACCTCAAGCTAATATAGCACCGTACGGTAACTCTACTGGAAGTAAAATACAAAACTTCATAGAGTCTAAAAAATTTTTTTAAATGGAAAATAATTATAATGTAGATATCCAGTAAATATCCTGAAGAAACGACAGACTTCGTTTGTAAACATTCCATGGTTTAAAATGCGTTTTTCACATATCACAGAACACGGGTCTCAATTAACAGTATGTTGCTGCTCTCATCGGGCACGCGCCCCCCCCCCACCGCCCGTAACACTGACCGGGTGAGCTCAGTTTAGGCACTGTGCTACGTGATGCGTCCACGAGACGTGAGCAAATAGAAAATGGTCTTTATTTTCATGTAGCTCACAGTCTGGATGATGATAATTTTGTCATTTACCCGCATATCGTACTTCTAAGATATTTTTTTTTTAAATATTCAGTGAACTTTTCTTTGTGGGGATGGAGAGCAGAGAATGATGAAGAAACAATATCCTTTAAGGAATTTAGCTACGGGAATCAGAATTATTAAGCTAAAAGTGACCTTTGTGCTCTTTTCTTTTTCCTTTTCCTTTTTTTCTAAGCAGGCTCCACGCTGGGCTGGCCATGCAGCCCAGTGCAGGGTTTGAGCCCACGACCCTGAGATCAAGACCTGAGGTGAGGACCAACAGTTGGAGACCCCCCGGCGCCCCTACCTTTGTGCTCTTCTAATCCAGTAGTCTTTACGCTTTTTAAAAGCAGACCCTTTTCTTTTCACACCGAATTCCATACGAAGCCCCAATATATAGAGAAAATATAAACACAGCTGCTCTGATCAAAGTGGAAAGTCACCCCTTTTTCCTCTTCCCTCAGCTGGGCAGCTGAGCAGAGTCCGAGGGCTGGAGAGCTAGTTCTGCCTGTAGTTTAGAGGTGGGAAGCAGAGTCTCAGAGCAGCCAGGAGATCTCTCTCTCTCTCTCTTTTTTTAACATTTTATTCACTTATCTGACAGAGAGAGCATAAGCAGAGGGAGAAGCAGGCAGAGGGAAAGGGAGAAGCAGGCTCCCCATTGAGCAAGGGAGCCCGATGTGGGGCTTGATCCCAGGATCCCGGTACCATAACCTGAGCCAAAGGCAGATGCACAATGACTGAGCCACCCAGGTGCCCCCCGTGTGATCTTTTGTGGCAGATACTGAATGAGAACCAGGACCCAGTAGTTTCATTCCAGCTCTGCCATTTATGTCACATTAATTAAACTCCAGAGATCCTTTTGATGATTTTAACTGAACCTAACTTTACTTTGGCAGTATTTGTACAAGCCCTTTATTTTGCACATTTGAAAGCACGCCCAGTGAACTGGCAATTACAGGTTGTGTTGCTCATGTCTCTATTAATATGTATGTATCAAGCAAATACTACATGCCAGGCACTGCTTGGGGAGCTGGCCATCCAGAGGGGACACAAAGGATGAAGTCCCTGTCCTCCTGGAGCATATATGCTAGTCGTGCTGAGCTAGGAAGACAGTCAGCACCAGGAGAAGACAATTAAAGTGATCTGGGGTGGGTCGGGGCCAAGCAGGGCAGAGCTCTGGCAAGAGCAAGGGCGCACTGTGCCTTGAGTGGAGAGAACACTGGGGCGAGGCCGGAGGAAGGAAGAGTCACAACACACAGGGCCTTGAAGACCACGGTACGGACTCTGAATTTCTTCCTAAGTTAACCGCAATCTACTAAGGGCTTTTCGGCAGGAGAGTAACATCATCTGATACCTATCTCACCAAGTTCACCTTGGTGGGACTTGGATTATATAAAAATTAGTGTTGATAACAGTAACAATAATGGCTAATATTCATCACACACTTACCATGTGTTAGCCACTGCTCAAAAAGCTGTCCATACAGCATTCAGCAATAGGCACGTAACTGAGGTCACCATTGTGACTCTCATTCTAGAGAGGAGGAAATGGAGGCAGAAGTGAACCCGCTCAGGGGCTCCCAGCTGGTAAGTGGCAGACGCACAGTTCAAACCCAGAGCTGATTGCAGAGCCCTCTGGATGGAAGGCAAGAGAAGGCGCTGCTTCTTGCATATACCGTAAGGTCAGGGCCACACCCTTGCTCCTGTGCTAGGTGTGGGCTAAGAGATGAATGGACCACAGGGGCCCTGGGGGCTGGAAGATACTGCTCAGTGACAGAGGGTGCGACCAATACTATTCTCCTATCTTTTTTTTTTTTTTTAAGGTTTTGTCTATTTATTTGCCAGAGAGAGAGAGAGAGAGCGCACAAGCATAGGAGTGGTAGGCAGAGGGGAGAAGCAGGCTCCCCTGCCCCACCCCACCCTGAGCAGGGAGCCTCATGTAGTACTCAATCCCAGGACCCTGGGATCATGACCTGAGCTGAAGGCAGATGCTTAACCAACTGAATCACCCAGGCATCCTTGTTCTTGTATCTTTTTATAAAAAAGACATTTTATGGTATGTGGACACAATATTTTAAGTGATAACCCAAACTTTAAAGGTTGTCCATGTTGGAATGACTGGGGGGCTCAGTTGGTTAAGCATCTTCCTTGGGCTCAGGTCAGGATCCCAGAGTCCTGGGATCAAGTACCACATCGGGCTCCCTGCTCGGCAGGAAGCCTGCTTCTCCCTCTGCCTGCTGCTCTCCCTGCTCATGCTCTCTCTCTCTCTCTCTCTCTGACAAATGAAATGAAATGAAATGAAATGAAATGAAATGAAATGAAATGAAATGAAATGAAATAAGTTGTCCATGTCTGTCTGTGAAATAGTCAGAGACAATTCCAGTTCAGTGTTTAACCAGCCTCATAGGAAACAGCTAGAATCAAGGTAAAGAAGGGGACTCAAAAGCCAAAAGCACCCCGAGTCCAGAATATTGACAAGGAGTTAAAAAACCAGCAACAAAAATAAAATCAGAATCTGTGTCCCCCAAAAAGCTTTCACCAGCTCTACAAATAGTTATCCACTGTGTCCCAGATAAACACAGGAATTCCTTCTTCCCCGTAGGCGGGTGATACCAACAAACAAATTATCAAGAAGATATAAAGACCTATATAAAAGAAAAACCGCACTTGGGAATCTCCTCGTGGTCCCCACTCAGACAATTTTCTCAGGGCACAACGCAGTAACCTCGGTGGCTAACACAACGGCCGGCCGGCAGTCCGTCAGACAGAAACATCAGCCAGTCACCACGACGCCCCTTCCAGGTGGGTGAGTGGAAGCCTGATGACAACCATAACCATTAAAAGGAAAAGGAAAGCAGCGGCGCCCAGAGAGTGGTTAATTCCTGCCTGCAAGATGTGCTGCTACAGGGACAAAACTGGATTAGCTGGAGACTCTCCCGCTGAGCCCTTTAAGTTGCTCCTCTCTGCGCCACTCCAGCCGCTCTGGGCAGCGTGGGCCGCCAGCCGTGCAATTGACCCGCTCTCCAAGCGCTCGCATACCA